ATGCCAAGACTATGACACAATCATATGAGACAACCTTACTTTGTCAACTAGAACCGCTACCACATATGATATACACAGATAAACCGATTTAACACTGAAACCCCCAACCCATGCTCTACCTGCCTTAAGCATGGTAGACTAAGGATACACCTTTCCATAACGAGACAGCAGTTTACTAGACACAAGTTGGAAGGGAATGGTACCTTTGATAATTTACCATACACAAGCTAGAAAGTACTGGTACCTCTCATTCTAAGTGCAACCAATTCTCCAAGTGGTAACTAGAAGGTAATGGTACCTCTCATTCTCAGCATAGTATACATTACCAACCATCACGACATGCTAAAAGCATAATAACACAAGCGTAATACATATACATAATCAGTTCAACACATCAATGTCATCCTCTACTGATAACCAGGGATAAAACCTCTAAGCACATGTATTTATTACGCATATCTACAATCGTCCAAATCCCGTGGAACATAAACCCAACAACAACAATAACATACAATTTCACTTTTCACAACTCAAACCCCAAAACCCCTTTATATGAATTTGATATCACATAACTAAATCATACTTTTTATGCAATAGAAATATACCACATGTCTATCTATAAGGAAGTATTGAGAATGAGCAAAGAAATGCCTACCTCTAGCAAGAAGAGGAGAAAACCCGAAAATCCAACTTTGACGAAAACACGATCTGCTTAGATTACTAAAAAGCTCTCTTTGTGCTCTATATTTTGGTGGGTAGAAAGTGAGTCGAAATATGTGAAAACCAAGCTAGAAAGCTTGAAACCCTCAAAAATGGAGGAAGAGAGAAATAAGAGAGAGAGAGAGAGAGAGAGAGAGAGAGAGAGAGAGAGATGAGCTAGATTCACCAAAAATGACTTTTTAAATTGTTGAACTCGAACAGACCGCTCGAGCGATAAAATTTGCGCTCGAGCATCATAGACATAAGATCGCTTGAACTTTCGTTCGAGTGCAGAATGCGAACTCCCAAAAACTCAAACTTGTAAAAGTACTGGATGACGTACAAGACTGCTCGAGCAAACAATCCGTCGCTCAAGCAATGAAGAAGAAAAAAAACTTTCAGGTTGTCACATTTATAGTTTTGAATCATTGAATTACATAATAATATATTATTAGTTGTTACTCTAAACAAAGGAACTAATTGTGAATATTCATAGGCTATGGATCCCTTGTACCAATTTGTTGTCCCGACTTCTTGTACCGTGCATCTCCGCTCACCACGTGACCTAATATTCTAACAAAACTTAACTCTGTTAACTTGACATAAACAATTATATATTTATAATTAAAATAAAATAAAAATCTAAAGAACCCAAGTGGGCCTATTCTGTCTACCTACTCTCTCTATTGTACCTTTTATATTTCCAAGAACAACATTCCACATTCGACAATAGAGAGAGAGAGAGAGAGAGAGAGAGAGAGAGAGAAAGTAGTAAGAGAAACAAAGAAAACTTTGCTGATTCAGCATAGCACTCACAAGTTGCAAAGGTGTACTCATGTTGAGAAGCTCTGTATTGGGTTTGTGACGCAAGCCGCGAACAATTCCACAAGCATGGATTTCTTTATGCTTCTTCCTCTAGTTCTACCTAATTCCTCAACTCTTTTGTCAAGTTTCACAAGCATGGAATTCAAAGTATCATGTTTTGAGCCACACTACATGTTTGATACAATTAGTTTCTTGAAATTTCTTATGTCAGCTGTTTTGTTTGCAATTTTAGTTTTTCATCTATTCTAAACCCTGTTCAGTCATGGTCTCAAAAAATAAACAATAGATTTCCCATATTATGTTGTTTGATTTTGGTTTTTTTTATAATTTTTTTAGGGCAAACTTCACTTTATCCCCTTGTGGTTTGGGCTAGGTGCAGATTATCCTCCTGACATTTGAAAATCACCACATAATCCCTATGTGGTTTGTGGACTAAAACGCACACTAACTTTTGTTAACAGAACATGTAATTTTACCTTTATGTCCCCATTTTCTTCCTCTTCTCTCTTTTAAATTAAACCTACAAATATACATACATGTATACATATATACACACCTGTTTTCTTTCTTCTTCCTTCCATGCTACCAACTCTAATATATATATATATAAACCTGCAAATTGCATATATATAATCTGCATATATACCAACTCTAACATACATATATATATATAAACTTATAAATTGTATCATAAACATATATACATATATACACAGTGAATAATATATATCACAAACGCAGTTGATTAACATACACATATACATATATATATATACCTGCAAATTGTATCGCAAACATATGTACATATAAGCAAAGTGAATAATATATATCATAAACCCAATTGATTAAATTACAAATACAAGCTAGTGGAAGATGAACTTCACCAAATAGAACTACAAAGATACAAGCAAATCAGAGAGAGAGAGAGAAGCAAATGGTAATTGCACAGTGAATGTAGAGAGAGAGAGAGAGAGAGAGAGAGAGAGATGTAGGGCTTGTTTGGTTTGTTTTTAGGAGAGTTGTTTTTGAAAAAAAATTTGGGGAGAGAGTTTAGAAATTTTTTTGGTTTGTTTGGTTGTATATTTTCAAAGTAGTTTTGGAGTTTGGGAGTTTGGGATGATTTGATATTTTGTTGTAATTGAGTAGATGTATGTGAGAGAAAAAGTGATTGAGAAGGAGAGAGGAGAGAGAAAAAGTGATTGATTGATGTGTAAGAGAGAAAGTGATTTTGAAAATTTTTTGAGAAAAACCACAACCCAAACAAAATTTTGAATTTTTTTTTTCAAAAACAACTCTCCCAAAAACAAACCAAACGAGCACGTAGATTTTCTACTTTATTGGATTTGAATTTTTCTACCTTGAGTTAGTGATCAGCATCTAGGTTATCCAGGTTTGTTGATTTGATTTCATTTTCCTTTCCTCCCTAGCACACATTTGGTTCCCTCTTGAACTTTAATTTTCTTTTTCCCCAATTTATGCAGCAAGTTTACATGTACTTCTGAGGTAGTGGCAATGCTGCAGAGATGGAAACTAGAGGGGCTGTAGAGAAATATACCTTTCGGTTTTGAAATTTGAGAGATTTAGTCTTCAAAATCTTATCTTTTTGAAGAAATTTTCATGGTTTGATTTATGAAATTGATCCTTTTTCCAGGGAGATTTTGAGTGTTCAGTTGGTTTGCTGCCATCACCGTTGCTTGGCCTCGCCGCCACCGCCTGGCCTCACTATTGGCGCCATGGCATATGGATTAGGGTCCAAATCGTCGACCAAACTGCCTGGGATCATGAGAGGTAGAGGAATGGTAGGGTTGTAATTTTTGAGAAAGACGGAGGAAGAACCATGGCATGCCTTTGCAAATTTAAAGATGTTCAAGGGGTATTTTGGTCGTAAAATGTAGCTTACTCTCTGTACGGGCGTTTGAACTACACAGTCCGTTAACTTGGATGGAAAAATGGATAGTGCGTTTTAGTCCACAAACCACATGGAGGTTATGTGGTGATTTCTGAATGTTAGGGAGGTAATCCGCACTCGACCCAAACCACAAGAGGGTAAAGTGAATTTTGCCCATTTTTTTTATTTGTTTTGATAATGAAAAGCCCTAACCTCACCTTTTATGATTGAAATACCCAGATATATGTGGCAACCAATATTATTTGTAATCTATTTGGTTAATTGGAATGAATGTGAATTGTAATGGGAGATCATACTTTCAGTCTAAGCATCTCCAATCCTTCACATTTTCTATTATTAAATTTAAATTTAATTTAAAGATGTTAAAAAATTATCTCAAATTCTTTCAAAAAATGTTCATCAAATCAAAGGAGAGTATTTTTTATTTTATTTTATTATCAAATTGACAACTTATCAAATTTGAATTTTATTTCAGACATATTCTATTGTCGAACTCTTATGATCGGCTCTGCTTAACAAGACAAGCACGCGCACGAGTTGTGCAGCTAGATATTTTCATAATTTTTTCTCCTCTATGCTTCTTGTATTATCTTTCCTTTGTTTGGTGTAAACGTTTTTGTTAGATGGGCTTTGTAAGTGTCATTTGGCTTTCCTTAATGGACTTTTTATTGATCAATTTTTTTTTTTAATTTTATGAAAATTGAAAAAGATGAAGCATTAGATTCCCCCCAGGTCAAATTTGATGAAAAAAGAAATTTGAGATAAGATAGAATTTTTTAAAAAAGATTTTGATGAAAATTTGATTAAAAAAAATTGAATTACTTATATCAAATTAATTTTTTTTTATGAAATTTAAATTCAAAATAGATAAAAAATAAAAAATACAAAAATACAAAATAAATATTAAAAAAAATTGTGAAAGATTGGAGATGGGCTTATGAAATTCCCATTCTCTTAAACTACTGAATAATGATTTCATTTACAATACATTTCTATTATCTTCTTAGTAAATCAAAAGTAAAAATTTTATTTCAATGAACCAAACATAAAATATTTTTGTTTGACTATATGTCTAGGTGGTTGCATTTTGTCAAAATACATCGTTCCTCAAGTAATCATACGGTTGGCTTGTGATATTTTTAATCAGAATCATAATTTGTTCAGGAAAATCAAATCTTAGCTCAAATTGGGTTCAACAAGGAGCCTTTACAACATGATTTGTGTTAAAATTCAAGAATCCACTACAAGAAAAGGGGTTAAATAACATGGAACTTTTTTCCACGACAATTATCCCGTTGCAAAAAATGATCTTTTGTGACGGTATTTTCAACTGTCGCCAATAAATACCTTTTGCGACTGCAGTGACCCATCACAAACAAACATACACGAAAAGGTGTGTTTAAATACAAAAATATTTGCGACGCCTTGCGTCCCGTCACAAAACCAACCTTTTTTAGACGGGAAAAATTTACTGTCTCAAATAGAGGACAAATTGTGATGACAATTGTCCATCACAAAAAAACTTATTAAAACAGTTTCATTTGTTACATTTATCATTTGTGACGGTTGAAATATGCCGTCGCAAAAAGTAATGAAAATTTTCAACATCCCTCTCCTTTAGCCCATTCGCGCTCATTTTCCCCAAAATCCCTATTCGAGCTCGTTTTCCCCCAAAATCCCTGAAACCTTTGTAGCAAAAATCTCAAGTGAGCGACGACGGTGGAATTTTGCTAACTTTGAGGCGTATTGACTGTGACGACGGTGGAATTTTGCTCCGAGCAGCGAGCGACGACGACTAGTAGCAGTTAGTCTCAATCGCGTCTCTCTCACTCACTCAGCAAGTGACGACGCCTGTATGCTCTCTCTCTCTCTCTCTCTCTTTCTCTCATTCATTTCCATTGCATCAATCGTCCTCTCCTTTTCCATTTTCCTTCCAATTCTTCGCAAACAAGGTGTCATTACCGCCATTGTTCCTCCACATTTGCAGAGAGACAATGGAAACAGATAAAGCTCAAAGGGTTCTTCCATTTCAACTTCAGTTCGACAAACCACTCCCTTCTCAGGTATCTCATCTCTCTCTCTCTCTCTCTATATATATATATATATATATGCAAGTGCAAAGTATATGATTAGAAGTATATTGTATAGTCTGTGACACCCAGTTGTTTATTTTTCAATTAATCAATTTGTAAATTGACAGATTAAAATAGCATAATGAAACCCAGAAAAGGATTTACTCGCCAGGGTTACTAAGGACTCTAAAATTCTTCTCCATCGTTTGAATTGGCAGTGTTTATGGGCTGTATCCCTAGGTGAACCGTTTCTCTCTCTCTCTCTCTCTCTCTCATGTTTGTGTTGTCATTGTGCTTTTTAGACCAAGTGTTTAATATTGGAGAGAAATCAAATGTTAACAACTTTATGTTTTCTATAATGTAAGTGCTGTTCAATCAAGGAGTGTCGAGTTCAGATCAATAGTTGACACTTTGGGATGCTTGGTAGCTAGTTAGAATGTAGGGAACATGGATAGGGTTCAAATGCCTGCTTTGGGAGTGGGATTGTCGTAGTGTTGTGTTCAAGGTGGTATTGTGTGCAAGATGTTTGATGAAATGACAATATGGGCATTTGGGATAACAAACAAATGTTGGGTGGATTGGTTGTGAAGACAAGCAGGGGAGAGAATACTAAGGCAGAGCCAACACTCCAAAGATGGAAGGTATGGGATGGGTTAGGTTGGGTTTAAACTATTTAAATAATTATTTAATATAGGTTAGTTGGACAAATCAAAAATTATAAAGACCGATGATTGTCTCAATTTTGACATGCTACCCATTTCTCATAAACCACATAGTTATTTGAATATTACCTTTGGCTCGTGAAGCTTTGCTTTATAAGTGGTCCAATTAAAAAAATTATATGAATCTATATAAGAGACCAATTTATTTTCATAGTCCATATACGAAAGTGTGCTTTCTCTAATTTTGGAGGGACTTGGACCACCCCCCCAGTCCATATACGAAAGTGTGCTTTCTCTAATTTTGGAGGGGCCAAGACCCCCTTGAACCCCCCTCCCCGATACTAGGCATTTGGTTTATGGTGGAGATTTGGAGGGGAAAAAGACTTGCAAATCATAGAATTTCTATATTGCTTTTTTTTACTTCAAAAGTTTTTTATTTTTATTTTTATTTTTTTTATTTGTATTTTTTATTTTTTAACTTCTTATGGACTTGAAAGAATTATTATATATTTTATGTAGGAAAATGCATAATATCCTTGTGTTGGCGTCTCGAATCTGATGAAGACCAAGAAGCATCAAGTTTCCACTTAAGGTCAAGATTTCTCATTTGAAACTCAATAGCAGCTTCTGTCAATCTTCCCATTGTAAGGAATAATACCATCTACAATTTATTTCAACATGTTGACATCTGATATGTGTTTCTGCTCCCATTGTGACAAAATCATTTTCAAACTTCCTCACTTTACCCTTTTAACCATCAAAAACTTACATAGTAAATCTTTATTAAAAAAACATGGCAATTATATGTAAACTTTGCAGGGGAAAGAAAGTGCTTATGTTAACATCTAAGGATCACCTTTGTGAAGGTAGTCAACTAAATGAGTCATAGATGAGGGCATGGAAGATCCATTTGCAATGCTATAGATATCTAGAATTTTCAACTCCACCATGGCTGTGTTGACCAATTTTTAAAGAGTTCACTTCTTTAATGAAAATTGAGATCAGTAGACAAATGATAGACATCCTGTTTGGTGTGTGGGTTGCATGTGCATTAGAGAGAGACATAGAGCTGAAAATTTTCAGAAGTTTTGATTGGGGTAGCGTTGCAAATGAAGGTTAATTGATGGCTGACACAGACAGCATACCAGAAAGAAAGTTCATCTTTGCCATATTTCAGCTTACAGAATGAAGCTGCAAATATTATATTTTGAGTGCTAATCGCATCCTACTAGGTCCAAAATATTGACAGTATGTTCTGAAGTCATTGTTTTTTCTTGTTTAGAGAAGTGATGCTAGTTTATAATATGTGAGCCTTTTAAATGTTGCTAAAGCATAACCATAAAGATGCATATTTTGGGGTAATACAGATGATATTGATACGTTTTTTTGTTGACTCTTGTACTTGTTTACGTATGACTTTTGTCATAGTGATGAAAGTTTTCCCTTTTGAACCTCAAGAATTTTAATGTATGTCTGATTATGAGTTTCGATTGATCTAATTGAGGAAATGTACATAAGTCAGTGATTGCTTCTCTAATAGTTTTACTGGGACTCTGAAATTCAAGGCAAGTTAACCTCTATAGTATACATGTTTTTTTTTAAAATGTCTTTTATTCACTGCAGAATGGAAAGCTGTTGCAAAGCGTAAAGTCCCATACTGTTGTTGTTGTGTGTCTTAACTGGGAGGAAGATGGGACAAAGAATAGAGTATGCATTTCCTTAACTTTTGTCCATATGGCTTTTGTAGAGCATCTAACCATTAAGTATACATAAAGTAATACTGCATTTCTATTATCTACTTATAGTATAAACATTTTAGAAAAAAAAGTGAACTGGTTTGTTCCTGTAAGATTATTTAGGATTTGGCCGTAATTGATGGAAGTTTATGGATCGCTACGATCAGAGAAAGGAACTTTAATGTAGAAATTTATTACATCATCTTTTAGATAATTACAGTCAATTGAGCCTTGTGATTGTTTGTTGGAAAATTAAGATTGTTTAAACTGCTGCTTGTTGTGATGAGAATCATGAGATATCAACTGTGCAAGTTAGCTTGGCTTCCTAAAACAAATTAAATTGGCATTCTCATTCCCTTTGTCTGTAGCTATTTGATCCTAAATGCATTTTGATTGCTCTCCAACTCACAGGTAATATAGTAGTCTGTAAGAATTTATGTATTATTGATTGATGAATTGATTGATTTATTGATCCATATTCTGTCTATTACAAATGGTTCCTCATATAGATGTAGGTGTAGTGGATGGTGTGTAGTGGATGGTGATAGTGGTGTAGTGGGTTAGGTTTAGTGGAGTAGGTGAGGTGGTAGTGGTGTAGTGGGTTAGGTTTAGTGGAGTAGGTGATGTGGTAGTGGTGGTAAGTGATGGTGATGTGGTAGTGGTGGTAAGTGATGGTAAATTCTAACAGCCCCCCGCAAACTCAAGGAGGATAGAAACTAACCAACTTGAGTTTGAAGAGAGGAACAAAACAAGAAAATACATAAAAATAAAAAAGGATAGGAGACACTGTATGGTCGTGTCAGACCATTGGTGAAGACACTGAATGGTGGTGTCATAACGTTGTAGAGGACACTGTATGGGGGTCATAACGTTGTAGAGGACACTGTATGGGGGTGTCATAACGTGTAGAGGACACTGTATGGTCGTGTCGGACCGTTGTAGCAGACAGTGTACGGGGTCATGTCGGACCGTTGTAGAAGACAGTTTATGGGGTCATGTCGGACCGTTGTAGCAGACATGCTGTGACAGTTGTTGTGACAGTTTACAGAGTTTGCTGGACCCTTGTAGAAACAACCGGAACAAGTCGGGACAGTTACAGAGTCTTGTCGGACCTTGTAGAAACTAACCGGAATCTATGTCGGGACAGTTTACAGAGTCTTGTCGGACCCATAAAGGAGCTCACAGAATCAATGTCGGGACAGTTTACAGAGTCTTGTCGGACCCTTAAAAAGTCGCCTCAAAGGTGTGCCCAATTTTCAAAAGGCGTGCCATCAAAAGGCGTGCCAATCCATAAAAAGACGTGCCATCAAAAGTTGCCCCTCAAAAGGCGCGCCACTTCATCAAAAGTCGTGCCCGACAGAAAGCGTCGAGCCATCAAAAGGTGAGCCGGGGACGCGGCGAAGCACGTGAGCGCGTTGGCTGGCGCGCCCGTTGTCGTCTGGCGTCAAGTGGCGCGCGATACGCTGGCTGCCTCGGCTATTTAACCAAGACGGAGGCTGAGGCTGAGGCAGAGGAAAAAACTGCGAAATCCTCTGAAAAACTCTTCGTTGTGCTGAGATATTCTGTAAACACTCTGTTGCCCAGAAAATGGCCTCGTCTTCCCGGAGTCTGCTCACCTCTTTCCGACCTCAACGATCAACAAGAGAGAACTGGTGCGGTGGCACTGGAACCTCAACCAAGCGCCACGGAGTTTGCTCCGTTGAACTTTCCGATGCGGTCTGTGGAGCAAAGATGGCAGTGCAGTCGGATGTGGAAGCCAATCAGTATACCTTGAAGTCATGTGTGGAAACCATGACTGCGGTGACAAACTTGTCGAACCGGCTGCAGAGTAGGGCAAATGAGGTGCAGCAGTTAAACTCCCAGCTGCTCTGCTCCAACGCATGTATAAGGATGCGCGAGCAGAGATAAGTGTGCTAAAGGCGGAAAACAGGGAGTTGAAGCGGAAGGCCACCGTGATGTCGATTTGGAGTCACCATACGCTGAAGTGGAGGAGCAGGGAGGAGGCAAATTGCTTGGTGGACAAGGAAACACGGAGCAACACCGGCAAGGGCCGTCCAGGACGGAGGCAAGAAGAAGAGACGCGGAGAGTAGAGAAGGGAAAAGAAAATCCCACTGTGGGTGTGGTGTGTTGTTTGTTTGTTGTTTTTGTTGTGTTTTTTTTTTTTTGTAAATTGTGATCGGGTTGATCCCGTCATAACAAAATGATAAGGTTGTGGAATGAAAACCGAGATGGTGTTTTTTTTTTTTTTTTTTTATCAATGTTTCATTATTATACAAAAGATAGAAAAAAATAAAATAAAATAAAATAAAATAAAAGTAGGGATAGAAAAAATATATTATAAAAATATATATATATTAAAGAAAGTGAGGGATGTGGGCGGTGGATGAAAACATGTGAGAGGCATTGTGTTTAAATAAAATAAAAGAAAGGAAAAGAGGGGGACAAAAGTTGGTGGATAGTTGGATGAAGAGAAAGAAGAAAGAAATAAAAGAAGAAAAGGAAAATGGGTTTGAAAAATTAGAGAGAGATGCTCAGGAGGTGTTGTGTAAAGCGTGAATTGAAAGATGAAATAAAATAATAAAAAGAAAGGTGGGTGGTGTGGGTCAGCAGCACAATGGACCATGTCATTGAAATTATTACTGAAGGTGCATGTATCACCATATCCATGACAAAAACACAAAGCCCCTTTAATTCGAACACCTGGTTTTGGCAACCAGCTTTTGCAGAAAATTTCCAAACCTTTTGAATTCCTCTCATACCACTCATCTTCTCTGATCCCAGAAGGAGCCATCTTAAACAAGCAATGATCGAGCTGTTGTTGAGCATCCTTGAAGGCCGATCGAACGCGCCTTCGAGCGGGAGCGAAGTCCAAGTTCTGAGATGCGATCGCATTCATCACTGTCCTTTTCTTCGCCGAGATCGTCAGCCGAGCCGGCCGGAGAACAATGGTCGGTGTCTCAGATTTCCGGCGTGGAAGAGGGAGTTCCGGTGATCGGAATAATGTGGACGAGGTCAGACAAAGTTCCATGGGGCGGAGGATGCTGTAAGGCACGGGTCTAATGGGCTGCGTGGCACGGGCGGCGTTCTCGAGCTAAAGGACTCAGTTGGAGTTGTTATTTCCCATTTGCAATCTTCAGCCTCTCAACTTCTTGCTTTAGTGCTTCATTTAGAGCTGTGTGTTTGGTGTAGGTGACCAAGATGGATGATGGTGATGATGCTCTGATCTTGAAGGTAACCAAGATGGCAGTGGAACCAAGGTATGTGTAGAAAATTTTAGCGGACTAGGTTGAGGTCCGGCGGGCAGCCAAGGCGAAGTTGCCGCCCGCCGGTGAAGAAAAAATATTAGGTTCTAAACCTGCTCTGATACCATGTAAGAATTTATGTATTATTGATTGATGAATTGATTGATTTATTGATCCATATTCTGTCTATTACAAATGGTTCCTTATATAGATGTAGGTGTAGTGGATGGTGTGTAGTGGATGATATATTTTAACAGCCCGGTGATCTCAGATTTAGTAGTCAATTTGAGAGAACAAACGAAAAGTGTTTTTACAATTGACGAAATACATGAAAAACTTAATTCGAGTTTACATATATGAGTTTTAGCATTCTCATGTCTTTATTCCCTTTCCATTTTGTGTCATTCCAATTTTTTTGGGCAAGTGTGCCATTCCATTGCCGAACGCTCTGGAAATATAGCTTCTATTTAAGTTTCATGAGTGGAGATACTGGATAATATCTCTCTTAATTTCTTGGCAGATTGAATGATCATGTGCCATAGGGTCTTATTAAATATTTTCTTTTTGTTTGGTGTCATTCATTCAATAGCATTTATGAAATTCTAAGGTACATGTTGAATTTTTTCAGCTTTTTTAAGGCGCGGCTAGAAGAAGAATGAGTAAATCTTTTGAAACATGAATAGATCTTTTAGCAACTTCCAGCACAGAGGGCTTAGAATTGCTGTGATATTGTTCACTTTGAGCCATGGATAATTATTTTTCAAGGAGGGAGGATGGTTGCGGTGGTCACGGGGGTAACAGACTCACGTGGAAGAGGAGGTTGCGACAGTGGCTGGGAGGGAGAGGGGCTGCGGCAGTGGTGGGGAGGAAGGGTGCGGAGTTGATACAGTGGCAGAAAGGGAGGGGACCGCAATGGTGGTGGGGCCAGTAATTGTTTGGTGGTGTTGGTTAGGAAAATCATGGGCAAAAAAAGACTTTTTATCATATTTTTGACTGAATTGTAAATAAGTTCCTAAGATAAAGACTAGAGAAGAAATTTAAACTTCTCTAAATTTAAATACCAGTGAAACTTCACTAGATTAACGTTTGCAGACTAGGACCAAATGAGCTAAGAAACTTCATTCTATTTCTATTTCATCATCTTGATGTCAGATTTCGGTCTCGACAAACTAGTTCTTTAAGAAACTTAGAATTCGAGGTGTTGACACCCCAAAATCACCAAACGATGTCGGATTAGCACAAAACTTGGCACATACGACCGCCTATGCACAAGAAACTTGTGGGAGAAGACGTGACTCAAATAGGGTACCCAGTTTGGGAGTTAGAACCGGATTTTGGTCTCGGCAAACTAGTTCCTTAAGAAACTTAGAATTCAAGGTGTTGATGCCTCAAAATCACCAAACGGCGTCGGATTAGCATGGAACTTGCACACATGACCGCCTAGGCATGAGAGACTTGAGGGAGAAGACAGGATTCGAATCAGGTTTTCGGTTTGGGAGTTAGAGCCGGATTTCAGTCTCGGTAAATTAGTTCCTTAAGAAACTTAAAATTCGACGTGTTGACGCCCCAAAATAACTAAACGGTGCCGGATTAGCACAAAAATTGGCACACACGATTGCCTACGCACGAGACACTTGTGGGAGAAGACGGGACTCAAATTGGATTCCTAGTTTGGGAGTTAGAGCCAGATTTCGGTCCTGACAAACTAGTTCCTTAAAAAACATAGAATTCGATGCGTTGACGCCCCAAAATCACCAACCGATGTCGGATTAGCATGAAACTTGGCACATACCACCGCCTAGGCATGAGAGACTTGTAGGAGAAGACAAGACTCAAATCAGATTCCTGCTTTGCTAGTTAGAGCCGAATTTCGGTCTTGACAAACTAGTTCCTTAAGAAAGTTAGAGTTCGAGGTGTTAACGCCCCAAAATACCAAAAGGCGTCGGATTAGCACGAAACTTGGCACACGCAACCGCCTAGGCACGAGAGACTTGTGGGAGAAGACAAGACTGGAATCGAATTTTTGGTTTGGGAATTAGAGCTGGATTTCGGTCTCGACAAACTAGTTCCTTAAGAAATTTAGAATTCGAGGTGTTGACGCTTCAAAATCACCAAACGGTGTTGAATTAGCACGAAACATGACACACACGACTGTCTGGGCATCAGAGACTCGTGGGAGAAGACATGACTCGAATCGGATTCCCAGTTTGGGAGTTAGACACGGATTTCAGTCTCGGCAAACTAATTCCTTAAGAAACTTAGAATTCGAAGTGTTGACACCCCAAAATCATCAAACGGAGTCGAATTAGCACAAAATTTCACACACACGACCGCCTAGGCACGAGAGACTTGTGGGAGAAGACGAGACTCGAATTAGATTCCCGGTTTGGGAGTTAGAGCCGAATTTCAGTCTTGGCAAACTAGTTCCATAAAAAACTTAGAACTCTAGGTATTGACGCCCCAAAACCACCAACCAGTGTCGGATTAGCACGAAACTTGGGACACATGACCGGCTAGGCACGAGAGACTTGTAGGAGAAGATGGGACTTGAATCGGATTCCCATTTTACGAGTTAGAGTCAGATTTCAGTCTCGACAAACTAGTTCATTAAGAAACTTAGAATTCGAGGTGTTGACGCTCTAAAATCACCAAAAGGCGTCGGATTAGCACGGAACTTGGAACACGCAACCGCCTAGGCACGAGAGACTTGTGAGAGAAGACGAGAGTCAAATTGGATTTCTGGTTTGGGAGTTAGAGCCAGATTTCGGTCTTGACAAACTAATTCCTTAAGAAATTTAGAATTCGAGGTGTTGACACCCCAAAATCACCAAATGGCGTTGGATTAGCACAAAACGTGGCACACACGACCGCCTAGGCACAAGAGACTTGTGGGAGAAGACGGGACTTGAATCGGATTTCCAGTTTGGGAGTTAGTGCCGATTTTGGTCTTAGCAAATTAGTTCCTTAAAAAACTTACAATTCAAGGTGTTGACACCCCAAAATTACCAAACAGCGTCAGATTAGCACAAAACTTAGCACACACAACCGCCTAGACACAAGAGACTTGTGGGAGAAGACGGGACTCGAATCGGGTTCATGGTGTGCGAGTTAGAGATGGATTTTGGTCTTGGCAAACTAGTTCCTTAAGAAGCTTATAATTCGAGGTGTTGAAGCCCCAAAACCACCAAACGGCGTCAGATTAGCATGAAACTTAGCACATACGACCGTCTAGGCACGAGAGACTTGTGGGAGAAGACGGGACTCAAATCGGGTTCCTAGTTTGGGAGTTAGAGATGGATTTCGGTCTCGGCAAACTAGTTCCTTAAGAAACTTAGAATTCGAGGTGTTGACGCCCCAAAATCACTAAACGACGTCAGATTAGCACTAAAGATGGGATTCGAATTGGGTTCCCGATTTGGGAGATAGAGCCAGATTTCGATCTCAGCAAACTAGTTCCTTAAGAAACTTAAAATTTGAGGTGTTAACGCCCCAAAATCACTAAACGGTGTCAGATTAGCACGAAACTTGGCACACATGACCACCTAGGCATGAGAGACTTGTAGGAGAAGACGGGACTTGAATCGGATTCCCAATTTGGGAGTGAGAGCCAGATTTTGTTCTCGGCAAACTAGTTCCTTAAGAAAATTAGAATTCGAGATGTTGACGCCCCAAAATCACTAAACGGTGTCGGATTAGCATGAAACTTGGAACACATGACAACCTAGGCACGAGAGACTTGTAGGAGAAGACGAAACTTGAGTCGGATTCCTGGTTTAAGAGTTAGAGTCGGATTTCGGTCTCGGAGGAAAAGATAAGACTTGAATCGGATTCCTGGTTTAGGAGTTAGAGCCAGATTTCGGTCTCGACAAACTAGTTTCTCAAGAAATTTAGATTTCGAGGTGTTGACAACCCAAAATCACCAAACTGTGTCGGATTAGCACGAAACTTTGCAAACACAACCGCCTAGGCACGAGAGACTTGTTGGAGAAGACAAGACTCAAATTGGATTTTCGGTTTGGGAGTTAGAGCCAGATTTTTGTCTTGCAAACTGGATCCTTAAAAAACTTAAAATTCGAGATGTTGACACCCCAAAATCACCAAACACGTCGGATTAGCATGAAACTTGGCACACACGACCGCCTAGACATGAGAGACTTGAGGGAGAAGACGGGATGCAAATCGAATTTTCGATTTAGAATTTAGTGCCAGATTTCGGTCTCAGTGAACTAGTTCCATAAAAAACTTAGAATTCGAGATGCTTACACCTCAAAATCACCAAACGGCGTCGGATTTGCACAAAACTTAGCACACACGACCGCCTAGGCACAAGAGACTTGTGGGAGAAGACGGGACTAGAATTGGGTTCTCGGTTTGGGAGTTAGAGACGGATTTTGGTCTCAGCAAACTAGTTCCTTAAGAAACTTAGAATTCGAGGTGTTGACGCCCCAAAATCACCAAACGACGTTGGATTAGCACGAAACTTAGCACACACAACCGCCTAGCCACGAGAGATTTGTGGGAGAAGACGGGACTCGAATTGGATTCCTGGTTTGGGAGTCAGAGAAGGATTTTGGTCTCGGCAAACTAGTTCCTTAAAAAACTTAGAATTCAAGGTGTTGACGTCCCAAAATTACCAAATGGCATCAGATTAGCACGGAAGACAAGACTCGCATTGGGTTCTCGATTTGGAAGTTAGAGCCGGATTTCGATCTCGCAAACTAGTTCTTTAAAAAACTTAAAATTTTAGGTGTTGACGCCCTAAAATCACCAGACGGTGTCAGATTAGCACGAAACTTGGCACACACGACCGCCTAGGCACGGGAGACTTGTAGGAGCAGACGAGACTCGAATTGGATTCTCGATTTGGGAGTTAGAGTCAGATTTCGATCTCGGCAAACTAGTTCTTTAAGAAACTTAGAATTCGAGGTGTTGACACCCCAAAATCACCAAACGACGTCGGATTAGCATGAAACTTGGCAGACACAACTGCCTAGGCACGAGAGAGTTGTGGGAGAAGATGGGACTCGAATCAGATTTCCGGTTTTGGAGTTAGAGCCAGATTTCGGTCTTGGCAAATTAGTTCCTTCAAAAACTTAGAATTCGAGGTGTTGACGTCCCAAAATCACCAAACGGCGTTGGATTAGCATGAAACTTAGCACACACGACCGCCTAGCCACGAGAGATTTGTGAGAGAAGATGGGACTCGAATTGGATTCCCGGTTTGGGAGTTAGAGAAGGATTTTGGTCTCGGCAAACTAGTTCCTTAAGAAACTTAGAATTCACGATGTTGACGCCCCAAAATCACTAAACGACATTAGATTAGCACGAAAGACAAGACTCGAATTGGGTTCTCGATTTGGAAGTTAGAGCCGGATTTCGATCTCGCAAACCAGTTCCTTAAGGTACTTAAAATTTAAGGTGTTGACGCCCAAAAATTACCAAACGGTTTCGGATTTGCATGAAACTTGGCACACACGACCGCCTAGGCACGAGAGACTTGTAGTAGAAGACGGGACTCAAATTGGATTCCCGATTTGGGAGTTAGAGTCGGATTTCGATCTCGGCAAACTAGTTCCTTAAGAAACTTAGAATTCGAGGTGTTGACACCCCAAAATCACCAAACGATGTCGGATTAGCATGAAACTTGGCAGACACGACTGCCTAGGCACGAGAGACTTGTGGGAGAAGACGGGACTCGAATCGGATTTTCAGTTTGGGAGTTAGAGCCAGATTTCGGTCTTGGCAAACTAGTTCCTTAAGAAACTTAGAATTCGAGGTGTTGACGCCCCAAAATCACCAAACACGTCGGATTAGCACGGAACTTGGCTCACACGACCACCTAGGCACGAGAGACTTGTGGGAGAAGACGGGACTCAAATTAGATTCCTGGTTTGGGAGTTAAAGCTAAGTTTCGGTCTCGGCAAATTAGTTCCTTAAGAAACCTAGAATTCGAGATGTTGACGGCCCAAAATCACCAAACGGCGTCAGATTAGCTCAAAACTTAGCACACGACCATCTAGGCACAAGAGACTTGTTGGAGAAGAAGGGGCTCGAATCATGTTCTCGGTTTGGGAGCTGGAGCCAGATTTCAGTCTCGGCAAACTACTTCCTTAAGAAACTTAGAATTCGAGGTGTTGACGCTCCAAAATCACCAAACGGCATCGGATTAGCATGAAACTTGGCACACACGACCGCCTAAGCACGAGAGACTTGTGGGAGAAGACATGACTCGAATCGGGTTCCAAGTTTGGGAGTTAGAACTGGATTTCGGTCTGGGCAAATTTGTTTACTTAATTATCTTTGTAATTGTGTAGTTGTTAAATTTTTTTATTTTTTGTAATTAACATATAAACACATAATTATATTGTCATTAATTATTTTTGTTTTTTGTTTTCAGATGTTGCTTGAGTAGGAGTTTGCTTCTTGTGGAATATCTGCCTGTCAAGAATGCGACTAACTTTTGTTTTTGTTACCCAAAGAGAATGATGAGGAAAATTTTTGTTTTTGATTTATATTATTTTGAATTGTGAACAACATTATGTACTTAAACATTATATATGTATTATGTAACATTATGTAGTAGGGTAATTTACTGATGTTTAGTTATGAATGCAAGAATATTTTTATTATAGTGAAATTGTTATTTCTATACCGGAATTTTTATATTATTATGTAATTATTGATTTTTTTTGAATTTGTTTTTCATTTAATACAGGTAATTTTCATATTTTTAATAATTTTATTGCAGTTTTTTTTTATTATTATTTTTTGCAATGGCACCATACCACCGCAAAAACATTAGACCTAAAATGTAAATTTTTTGGCGGCATAGACAATGTCGTTGCAAAATGATTTTTGGTGACCAAGATAATGTCGTCTAAAAAAAAAAAAACATTTCACGACAACTTCTTTTGCCGTCTCAAATAAAAGTTTTAGCGACTATAGAAGCATTGTTGTCGCAAAAGGTCTCATTTTTACATGTTATCGGCGATAGTAAAACGCCGTCACGAAAGCTAACATTTGCCGTTGCAAAAAAAAGAGGTGACGGCGGCATGCCATCGCTAAAACTTTTTTGCAACACCCTCTGTTGTGATCCCCCCTTTGCCGTCGCTAAAAGTTTTTTGAGACGACATTAGGTGTATTAGCGACGGCATTTTGCTGTCGCAAAAAACCAAAATTTTTGTAGTGATCACAAATAAGATAGTAGCTTTCAATGAGAAATTAAATAAAAACTAGAGATAATTTTATATTGCTTAAACTCTTTCAAAAACAAAGTGTTACTAATCGATTATCTTGCCACCAATTCATAATAACCAAAAAAATAATAAAAAGAAATGTTGTCAATCTTTACATAAAAATTTAGTCACATGCGTAAACCAAAAGGAAATTTGTAAAATTGTTTGAAACTTTAGCATCCCCACATAAAAACCAACTTTTGAATGTTGCTAAATAAAACTATCATCTTAAACTTCAATGTTGGTCCTCCTTTCATTGGCCTTCGTCATGAAAACTATTGAAGTAAAATCCATCATATTCTTGTGCTGGTAGTTGTGCCTGTAAATACCAAAAATTATGTTATCCCTGTGGTATATTCTTTTTAAATAGAATATATATATATATATATATAAATCATGTAAAAAACACCAAATTACTCGTAGTAATTCAGTCATTTTAGTAGGTCTTCGCTAATTTTTGAATAGAGTGTAAGCACAAAGATAATTTTTCTGGTACATAAAATATATATAAATCATTTTTTACATGTATATATAAATCATGTAAAAAAACACCAAATTACTCGGAGTAATTCTCTATTTAACTTTAATACCTCTAACTCTTACATCAATGCCATCAATGTATATGGTTTCATTTTGCTTGAACAAATTATTGTTGGCAAGTGAAGTCCCAATCCAAGTTTTCTCAATTACAACTCATCTTAAACACACATTCACCTCTTTCAACATCTTGTTAAGACCATCTAACGCAATTTTATAGGTTTTTTCTATTTCAGCAGCTCTAGTTGCCAATTGAGTATACAAATGACACAACTATTTGTATTGTCTTTCAATCATTGCCTTTGGATCTTCATAGCTTATACAAGTAACTTCTATACTCCTTGATTTTGCATTCTTTGTCCACCTCTTTAAAATGTACTGATCAGGTATCTTCGTAACATTTTTTGAAGAAAGAACTTTAAGTGCATGTGAACATAAAATTCCCATGAACTCAAATTTCTTATAGCTACACACCATTGTACCTTTTGATGAGTTGTAAATAACAATATGATCATGATGCTTACAGTAAGGAACGATCTTATATTCAGTCATTGTTCCATCCTCACCACATAGATGCATATTACAATCGTAAGCTTTGCACAACTCAGCTTGAAATAATTCAAAGACCTCAGATGAGTATATACTTGTTGCATGCTTTAAAATTTCTACCGGAAATATTAAACACAAGGTACTTTGACTTGCTCTAAAATTAGCTTTGAGCTCTTCGTAATGGTGATCATCAATTAACCTTTGGAAGTGTTGGAAAAAAAGTATCAAGTCATGCTTGTAGTTGACATATTTTTTTACAACACTATTTATGCTCTCACTGCGATGGGTGGTGGTCATGTCTGCACAAAAAGTCTATCTGCCATAAAGTAAAGCCCATTTCTTCTTCATATTATACATTCACTTCAACTAATCATTATCTTCAAGACTATATTTTTCAAGCATCACATTCCATGCATTGATAAAATCAGCTTCTTCTTCACAGTTGTATATGCAATCACTAAAATCTTTTGTACATTCTTTGAACCTTGCAAATACGCCACTAAGTTTCATAGCTACATTTTGGTAGATGTGCCAAATACATAAATGGTGAAATGTATCTGGCCACTAAGCAACTAATACTTTTGCCATTCACTACAAGAATTATCACTTTTGGCAACAAAAAAATTGGTCGCTAAAAGTCAATTTTTGGTCGGCAAAAGTTATCCGCGACCAGTTTTTTTGGTCGCTACTTTGGTCGCCAATTGAGGGTCGGCAAAAGTAATTCGCGACCAAAATTATGGTTGGTCAGCAAAAGTTAGATTTCGCGACTAAATTTTTGGTCGCTAAATATTTAATTACCGCGACTAATTTTTTTTGTCGCCAAAACACTTTGGTCGCAAAAAGTGATATTTTCCCGACCAAAAAATTTGGTCGCCAATCATCATATTCAACGACCAAAAAGTTTGGTCGCCAATTGTGACATTCCGCAACCAAAAATTTTAGTCGCCAATCATGACATTCCGCGACCAAAAAATTTTGGTCGCCAATCGTGACATTCCTAATTGTTAAAAACCTCAAAGGATGAGAGTGTAATTTTCCTTATTTTAATGGATGGAAAAATGAAACTTCTACCTCCCTCAAATCATTGCATTCTTAGATATTATTTAAGTTCCATTTTGTCGAGACTCCACTAGTTTCACACCCAAGGTCTTGTTGACACCTGCATACTAAATTACAACTATTTGCATCTCCTTGTATATGTTGTTGTCTCTACTAACCTGTGGAAAATATTAAAAATTGACTTACTGAAAAAGCGGTATTACGTAGTTGTGACCGTTACATAATGATTGTACGCGTTACTCATTATATTTATTTTTATGGTATGACGGAAATTTACATATGTAATAGTTGTTTCGGTGTTATATAACAGTTGTAGTAGTACCGTAATGGCCGTAACGGCTTGTTACATACCATAACACACTTTTACAATATTTTGAATAGTTTCATTTCTAAAAAAAAAAAAAAAAAAAAGAACGAATACTCAAATGATTCAAACCAAAAAAAAAAATCTTGCATGAATTTTTTTTTCATTTTTTTTTCATTACATTAGCATGTAAAATAAAAAAATATATAAATAGTAGTTGTATTTATTTTTATAATTATTTTATTTAATATTTAATTTTAAATATTTTTTTTGTTGTTGTTGTAATGTGTTGCCTAAAAAATATATTTTAAAAGAATTGTTAGGACCCTTTGTTGTCAAAATCCATGGAAAAACCAAGGTTGTAATCAACTTGTAATTTTCCAGGTTTCCAGTTTTTGTCTTCCCGCTCGAACGGGGAAAGTGACGCTCGAGCGGGGTTTGCACTCTCACAGCATCTGTTACGTCTACAAAAATATTGGATGATGTGATTTTACGCTTGAGCGTGGGATCTTCTGCTTGAGCGTGAACCCTGTATGAAACACGCAATATGGAGTCTCCGCTCAAGCGGGCATTCCCACGCTCGAGCGGACCGCGCGATCTCAGTTACTATATATTCGTGTGTTGGTTCAATTCTAGGGTTACTTTTCCTAGATCTTGTTTAAGGATCTTAGGGTTTTTGTTTGAGGTTTTCTTCTGAGTTTTTTGGTGAGTTTTCCTTGATATATTTGAGAGGGTTTGTAACCTATGATCTAAGATACATACATCAAGGAGTTTGGTTCTTCATAATTAAGAGTGTTCTTCTTCAGTGGATTCCGAAGATTCAAACGTGGAGCTTCAAAGGAGTTTGATTCTGCACCTAGTTGTTGACTCGACAAGTGAAGTTGTGGATTCAACTTCAGATTAATCAGTTCCGAGACGAAGGCTTGGTGAAAGAGTTACAGAAGGTTTGAAGACAAATTGGAGTAGTTGGGTAATTTGTTTGTTATCTTTGTCATCTTTCTTTCTTCAATAGTGGATTGGTTAGTGGCATTTCGCCCGTGAATTTTTATTACAATTCAAGGTTCTTCAATTGTGATTTTTCCACGTAAAAATCGTTTGTGTTGATTTATTATTTATTTCGAAAACAACAATCTAAATCACTTTCATAAGTTCTTGATGATTTAGATTGTATGTTTTGAATGATTGGGAATTAAAATATTTTAATCTTGATCTAATCATGAATCACTTAGGATTTTCAATTGGTATCAGAGCATGTCACTCTTTGTTTTTTTATCAAAACTATAGGAATGTGATTTTGTGTGATTGGTGATATGGATTCAATTCGTGAAGGTAACTCAACCCATAGACCTCTGTTACTCGATGCAACAAACTATTCTTATTGGAAAGCTCGTATGAGAGCGTTTTTAAAATCCGTCAATGAGAAAGTTTGGCACTGTGTGCTCTGTGGGTGGAGTGAACCTACTGTCACCATTGATGGTATTGAGATTCCCAAACCCCTTGATAAATGGGACACAACCAATTATCAAAACTCAAGTTGGAACAACAAGGCTCTCAATTCCCTTTTCTGCTCCATCACACCTGAAGAGTTTCGTCGTATCTGCACGTGTGAGGTAGTAAAAGAGGCTTGGGACATTCTTGAAACAATTCATGAAGGTACTACTTTTGTCAAAAGGTCAAAACTTCAACGTCTCACCTCTGCCTTTGAAACCCTTTTTATGCGAGATGATAAGACGTTTGATGATTTCTATGCAAAACTTAG